AGAGAGGCAGTATGACATAGGGATTAAAACCATGAATTTCTAAAGCCAGATTTCTTGTGCTCAGATTCCAACTTTATCACCTCTGTGTTATCTTACTATTGTGTAACTACCCGAAGACTCGGTTTCCCCCTCTAGAAAATGGAAAGGCAGTAACTATACCTTCCTCAAAGAGTTGTGAATATTAAAGACAAAACATAAGAGAGAAAATTGTCACATAACCTTCTACATATATTATTATTACATGACTTTACAAAAGGAGCTTTGCTTTTTAAAATTGGAAAAAAATATTAAATTAAAATAAAAATCTGTCTTTGCTATTTATTAGAACAATATACCACATTAATGATCACCAGTGCTTACCTTGAGTTGTTTCCTATAATATAATCAGAAGCCAAGAAAAAGAACAGAAACTTCAATGGAGGGAAATTTGGGAGAAATAAAATTTTATAGCTGGGTGCCAGTGGCTCACGCTATAATCCTAGTTTCTCAGGAGGCAGAGATCAGGAGGATTGCAGTTCAAAGCCAGCCTGGGGAAAAAGTTCCATGAGACCCTATCTCGAAAACCCCTTTACAAAAATAGGGCTGGTGGAGTGGCTGAAGGTGAAGGCCCTGAGTTCAAGATCCAGTACCACCAAAAAAACCCCATATATGTATATATATACATACATATATATATATATATATATATATATATACACATACATATATATACGTATATATATATATGTATATATATATACATATATAGAGAGATATAATTATATAATTATATACAGACCTTTGATTATTAAGGTACTTAAAATGCTATGACATCTACAATGGAAATGGGTATTCAGATGTATTTTCATGTTGAAGGTCTGTAAGCATTGTTAGTGAAATGCCAATGTATGATTTTAGCTGGAAAAAGGGTGGTGATTATATTCTACTAACTGAACAGTACATTAATTTTCATGCAATTCCACTAGTAAACAGCTTTTAAGTTACCTGATGCTCTCTAGCTCTACCTTCTCTTTTATAAACTAACAATAATATTACTCTCTCTTATAAACCTATCAAAAGTTTGAAAGTAGAGGGCACAAAACTGGGTGTTAGACAGCTCTCAGGATTGACTGCTATTCTCATTGTTACATGATGGCCATTTCCATTTCCCATTCTTCCTGAAAATTAGTTGTAACTGATTGTTGTAAGTGGGAAATGTGATATGTTAGTAATTTGACCCATAATGGTAAAAATGGATTTAAATTTAATTAAAAATTAAATCTAAAAGTCATTGGATATCAGGAATATTTTTAAATTATCTGCTTGTAAAAATTCAAAATATTTTTGAAACATAGAAAAAAGTTACATTAATTGTATCCCCATCTTTTATAGTTTTTCAATATTTTTCTGCCTAAATATCTCCTCCCTATGCAGGGGAGACTAAGGCTAAGCATGAAACTTTGGGTGGTATTGAAGAGGCTTTCTTAAAGCAGAATGACTAAACTCAATTACAATAGTATGTTAATGAGCCCATGAAAATTTTCCAGCACTTTAACCTTTGTTTACTCTTCTATTCCTTTCACATATCCATTAGATTAGGTACACAAATACCAGTCTTTGCCAATCCACAAACATCATAATTTTAACATCTCATTTCACCTTAAGTTCTCATTAATTTGAAATCAGCATATGGATGATGATATAGAAGCTTTATAAATTGTATAACACAAAGATATCTATGATTTCCAATCTGCAGTGTAGACAAGGAGCTAAGAAAAGATGTAATTGAGAGCCTACTTCTTTTGGCAAAAGTTATCCCAAAATGATGTTCAAAAAATAAAATGAAAATTTTAATTGAGAAGTTTTAAAGTAGATATAATTATGTGTTCAAAGAATATAAATGTATCATATCCTTCCTTCAAAATGCTTTATCTGTTTTCTTTCTCTAATTAAAAATAATTTTAAACATACCATATTTAAATTCACAGATGAAAATATCATTTGAATTAAGGTAAATGCAGGTGAACACTACTATCCAAAGGGTACAATGTGATTGCACCCCTTAGCTGGCAATATGACTGTTTGCATGTTTTAACCAGATCCCAGTCTGGAACAAATGTGGTGAAAATCAACACGAGCTCATCTCTGTGGAAACTGGCAAAGCACAGATGCTCCTACTGGAAATAGCTGGGTCTTTTGAGTCTTTAGATGAAAAACATGTTGTGAAAAAAAATTGTTCCATGCGTTGATTCACAGAATAAAAAGAGTGTATATTATTGTTTAATGTGCTGTAATTCAACAGCAGTATGTCTATTTTAAATGAAAGAGGCAATATATTCTAACCTGATATATTTTTTTTACATTTTCCTTTCCTCATTCTCCCTTTATACCACACTAAGTTCATTTCTTCAGTTGAATTCAACCTCATTCAAAGAACAGACGCGAAAGCTTTTTAAGTGAAAATGGCAAAGGGAGTTGTTATTTGACAGTCCTTAATTAAACTTCCAGAATATCGCTAGGTTGGTTATTCTTCTTTGTTTCTTATGCCCAGAGATAGTCCCTATGTCACTCACATATGATATGGTTAAAAATGATAAAGTCACAGACCAAAGGGGATGTCTGGATGCTGTGACACAGAAAATATCACAATCGATATCTTCAATAACTTCTGCACAGCAAAGGCTTTATCTAAGCCATACCTAATATAGAAGTTTGTAGGAGGGCAGAAAATGAGAAAAAGGAGCATGAGAGGCATTCTTCCACAATTATGGCCATGTTTTTCCAGCTTGCCCTCAGTAAAAGCTGACCAAATAAACAAACAAGAAAAGATTGCTTACAATGGTGAAGTCATCGAATTTTGTTTTAGTATTTATTCTTACTGTTAGAAATGCTTGAACGAAGTTCATGATCTGAATTTAGTTTTAAGTCTTAATATATACATGTGTTTATATTGATCATGGGACAAGCTTACCTTGTATTGAATTATATTGAGTATATGCTCTTATGTCAGTCAATTCTGCTTATGATTAATTGACAATGAAGATTTTTTTAAATTTGTGGTTGTAGAAGAAATACCACTTATTGTAAAAATATATTTATGATCTTTTCCTTGAAGTTGTGATACATAGATAATTTATGAATTCATAGGGAGTGGCTTATTTTAGGGATAAATTAAAGTACATTTCAGGCATATATTATTATTTAGTATCTTTATGAATAAGCACAAATGATATTTCTTCTTTAGTCTAGGTTCTTTTCTCTATCTTTAAATTTCTCAAAGTAAAACCAAGTTAATGTATAAGGAAATATATTTTAATCTTTTCTTACAAAGTGCTATCTGTAATTTTTCTTAGGAAATACTTAGAGAATAGAAAACCATTTGAAAATACAAAATGCTGCTCTGTGTATGTCTACAAAATTTATAATTAATTCTTTTTGTGATAAAATAATGATCAGGAACACTGATAATGGGTCACTGTCAGACTTGTACCGTGACAGAGTTAAAAGGATAATTGTTTGGAACTGGGCTCTTATCTGAAATATTAAGGACATCATGCATGGTAAAGTAAAAAACCAAACAGAGATGAACAAGTGAGAGAGAGAGACAGAGAGAGAGAGAGAGAGAGAGAGAAAGAGAAAGAGAGAAGAATCAAAATCATGTTGACATCTTTTCTCTACAGCCAACTTTATCTGTGCCCATGAAATGTCATGAGTCGTAGCCTCTCTGCACTGGATTCCTAATGTTTAAAATGGAGAGAACACATTAAAGATGGTATTAAGCATTAGGAAAAAAAGTGACCACACCTAAGTCAATACCTGCCTTGTGAAAGACATTTAGTTTCTACATAAGTTTTTTTTAAACTCTTATGAAAGATGGTATGCAATCATAGCTAATATGTAACTGATAATATTCATAAGGCTAGATTGTGGAAGGATGCAATGAATAATTTAATTTTTCAATGTGACTTTTTAACTACACATTTTACCCTAATTTTCTGTAAGCATTGTTTGTGTGAATATTATTTGGGGAGCTAAAAGGGAGAATATCACTTTATATGAAATATACTGAGCTTTAAAACAATAGAAATCTCTAATGTGATGGGGATAGTTGAAGTGAATGAAGAAAGACTAGCATTGCTTGTTTAAATTGCATTAATCACTGAGGGGATGATTTTAATTCAGCTATCATTTTACATTTTAATAGCCTTTAATAGAACTTTGATAATAAAGGTAAAGTGGTAAATTTTGCTACTTACAGAAAATTATACCTTTTGACTAATAGAAGACTGAAATTTGACACATGGTTTTAATTTATTCATATGCTTCCAGTCTTAGAAACTGAATATTCAGAGGTTTCTTTACTTAAGAATAACTCAATCGAAATAAATGATTTTTGAAGAGAACAAAATTGAATAAAGTGCCATGATATTCAAACAAAGTAATAGGTATATGGCAAAGTTTTGCATCTGATATCCTGTATCCAGTTTCAGAAATTCCTTACAGCAGAAATGGAACTTGACAGTTCATATGACCCAAATTGTTGTATTTACCATTATAGATTTTGAAAACATTAACAAAAGTTTATTGGCAACATAGAAATATCTTTACCTTCTATTTGTTTAGCAAATACTTGGGAGAGTTATTCTTAGTCCTGTCATCTCCCTCTGTAAGTTATGCTATGTGAAAAGAAAAGAAGTGATCTCTTATTTATTAAGAGCCAAGTATGTGTAGATATTGTAAGATGCCTATTACCTCTTTGTATTAGTAATTTTCTGTATGCTCAGAGCATGGAACAGGTGTTCATTTTCAATGCCTTATGCAACATAAGAGTGTACAGTGCCTTGGAGTTTGCATTGGAAGAAAGTATATGTAGCAAAGATATTTATTATATAGTAAAACTTCTAACCTTTCCACCACTTAGTCTACTCAGATAAGAAAATTCCCCAAGTGAATTACTTAACTATCTTTTCATATGTTTTCATTACACCTAATTTATCAAGAGTTTCTTTTTCTGCTTATAGGGATGACTTGTCAAGCTCGAACGTCATACACAGAAGATGAAGTTCTTTGGGGTCATCGTTTTTTTCCTGTAATTTCTTTAGAAGAAGGATTCTTTAAAGTTGATTATTCCCAGTTCCATGCAACATTTGAAGTCCCCACCCCACCGTACAGTGTGAAAGAGCAGGAGGAAATGCTTCTCATGTCATCCCCTTTAATAGCGCCAGCCATAACTAACAGCAAAGAAAGACATAATTCTGTGGAGTGCTTAGATGGACTAGACGACATTACCACAAAACTTCCATCTAAGCTGCAGAAAATCACTGGAAGAGAAGACTTTCCCAAAAAACTTTTGAGGATGAGTTCTACAACTTCAGAAAAAGCCTACAGCTTGGGAGATCTGCCCATGAAACTTCAACGAATAAGTTCAGTTCCTGGCAACTCGGAAGAAAAACTGGTATCTAAAACCACCAAGATGTTATCTGATCCCATGAGCCAGTCTGTGGCTGATTTGCCACCAAAGCTTCAAAAGATGGCGGGAGGAGTAGCCAGGATGGAAGGGAATCTTCCAGCCAAATTAAGAAAAATGAACTCTGATCGCTTTACATAACCAAACACCCCCTTAGGCATTATTTAATGTTTTGATTTAGTAATAGTCCAATATTTGGCTGATAAGCTATTCCTCCCTAAGGAATCTGAAAGCTACATTTGCAACACCCCCAAATCAATGAGCATTTTGAGAACTCTTCATTCCCAAGTATTGCTACTGTGCAGAAAGCTAAAGCTATGAAGGGAGGACATGGTAAGGAAGTTGTTAGTGGGCATGTATTATCACATCAAGCATGCAATCATGTGCAAATTTTGCATTTAGTTTTATGGCATGATTTATATATGGCATATTTATATTGTATATTCTGAAAAAATATATATATAAATATATATTTAAAAGGGAGTTACTCTCCCCATCATTTCTAATATATGTATTAAGCCAAACAAGTGGATAGCTTTCAGGGCAGTAACACTACACACACACACACACACACACACACACACACACACACACACACATACACACATAAACAAAATATATATTATATATATACACACACACATATACATACATACGTACATATATATCTGATAAAAATTGTGATGTTTTGTTAAAAATTGTAATTCTTGTGCATGTTTACTTTATTAGACTAGGAAGGCTACTGGCATTAATTATTAATACCCAAATATTTTATCCATAAATTATTTGTCATTTTGAAATCTGATTTAATGTTTTCTGCTGTTTAAGGTCATGAAAAATTTTCAGTTGTATTTTATCAGGAAAGAGTCATAGAAGTTTGTGGTATTTATGGCCCTGCAAAATAAAAACATTATATATTATAATTTGTGAATTTTACAGCATACCACTACCTGGTATATCATTGAAACTTTCTTATTTTTTAAAAGAAAATAGATCTAGGGGAAATAAATGTTTATTAATTTAATAATTATTCTTCTCCTGGATTAATTAAGATCTGGAAATTAGTTTTGTACATGTTCTGATACAAATACAAGGTCCAAAAATGCTGAATCATTGTAATAGTCAGTAGCCAGATTATATTTGACTATATCAAAATCTGTATTAAATTTTATAGAAAATGGTCTCTATTTCAAACAATCAATTAGCAACATTTTTCTTATTTTTCTGGGACTTTGTCCATTAAAAAGACAGTAATTTATCTTTAAGGACACATGACAATTCAATGAAGCATATGATAGATATTTATGCTTAAAACATGTACGTCTACTTGAGTCTCTTTTTATGCTGTTCTATCGTTTATGGCATTTGTTGTAAAAAGATAGACTTTATCCTCACCTGGGGAACATATCCCAGACCTGTCCCTCACAGTTCAGCAGGAATGTTTGGTCAGACCTGATAGAAATTAAAATTAGTCAAATGAAGATATTTTACACACAAGGTTTTCTTTTGGTGTGTGTGTGAATACTGATTTTATTAGTATCTTGGATTTTAGCAGTGCTGTTTTTCTAATCCCATTGTCTGATATTTATGACTCATTAATGGGAATCAAAGCTATTGATCAGTAGAACACCATCAAAATAAAAATTTGGAATGCAGAGATTTCTTATGAAGGTGTAGAAGTGTTCCTTATCAGAATATACCAGGTTTTCTATAAAATTTTGTGATTACAATCTAAATCTGCCCAGAATGATTCCGCTTCCCATTAATGTATAAATCATTAATGTCTGTTTGGGCTCCCATCCTTATTATTTTTTAACAATCCTGTTGTAATTTTATTATTGGTAAATTATCACATAAAAATTCTATCATTGACCATAATACCTCTGGCTACCTCTGTATCAACCAAATTCTGTAGGTGCAAACATACACCAGGGAATTCTTACAGGCAAAATGATCGACCTTGAACATCCATGCACTGTGAATAGAGCGGTCTTGCCCCTTGATCACCAAACTTTCTTATTTGCTGGATGTAGGACATGAAATGGTAGCAGAGAGAGAAAGGGGGTCAGAGGGCGTAGTGCATTTCTCAGCAGTGGAAGAAACTGCATAGATCATTCAATCCAAAACCTTAAAACTAAACAGAGCCATAATTTACTTTGGAGAGTCCTTTTAATTTGGTTTTGGTACCAAGAGGGACCAAAACAGACTCTCTGAATGTATTCATTCATTCAACAAAATTTTTGCATGCTTTCTGTGTCCTAGGCATCTTTTAGTTCCTGGAATTTGGAGATGACTAAGACAGAGGTCACTGTAGTGACCCAATAGTACCAATAGTACCGTGGGGAGAAGACAGATAAAAGATAAATGAAACCATTTCAAATAATCAAGATGTCAGTTAAAAGAATGAACAAAGAGTAGCATAATGGAAAGTGGGTAGAGTAGGAATGAATTATTTTAGAGGAGGTGATGGTCTTAAAGAGGCAGTTAATTCTTGGACAGAGAACTGAATGATGAGAAAAGGATACTGTTGCCAAAATTAATTAATTCAAGTGAATTATCTTTTCTGCATATATGTGGGAAAGGTAAATTAGCAATTTCTGCATGTAATTGCAGTTTAATCCCTATATCCAGGTTGATTACGGGTCGGGTCTCAGTCTACCCAAAAAGATTCCACTTAACTCTTGTACTTGTGTATTATCAACAACACTCTCACTCCTTATAATGTTCTGGTTTGGATGACAAATGGTAAAATTTTTGTTGAACCTAAATTACAAAGTCTGATATATTTGGATAAAAATAAAGAATTGCTTTTCTTCTCTTTTTCCTGATTTCTTTGACATGGGTCATTCTAAGCAAAGTCATCTCAGTTTCATATATTTTAGCCTGAAGGCCTTCTTACTGAAGTGGTTTCATGTAACATTTTTTTGAATCTGTATGTGACATGTCTCTCCACAGTGAAAAGCTACACATTTTATTGAATGAGTAAAAGGTAAACTTCAGCATTTCCATTTCAGGAAGTTGTAAGAGCTCAAATCAAAGAGGGAAAAAGTCAATTTAAACCAAGATAATTTTCAGCCCACCAATGTGGTGACAATTGGAAAAGGAAACATAATGTGATCATTGAACTGAATAACTATGCCATGATCATCTAGTGGTTATTACTCTTGTGTTGTGAACTGAATAATTACTTAACAACTGGAAACTAGACCTTTTTATAGCATTTTCATGGTACAGCTCTTGTTATAGCAAAATATTTCATTCTATTTATCAAAATGTTGTAAATAAAATAAATTTAATTATTTTGATAACGTTTATCTTCAATTCAAATATTTATTCTTTTCAGCGATATGCGAATACACTTTGTAAATATATACAAATGAAAAATAAGGATATTTTATCATTAACATTTTCTGAAGAAAATCTTCCTATTCTGTTTTAAATTCATTCTTATATGGCTTTAAATATTAATGATAAGTGTTCAGCTGTCTCAGTACTCAAAGCCCTTTTGTCTAGACAGGAATGGTTCACATAATGCACTATTTCTATTGGGGGAGACTGAGATCATGGGGAAGCTGACTTGAATTCTATTTGTATTTGAAAATTCCCTTACTTATGAAGAGAGTTCAGCTTGACTGTCTAGCAGGTCTTTGAGCTCTACTTCAAAATTTATGCTTGAATCACATTGTACATATCCAATTTAGCATCAAACTAATTGCATTTTCTGGCATGCATCTATAATTATTTAAATGTATGGGGTCATTTAGGCTACAAAATACAAACTCATGTATTCAATACTGGAAGTTCAGTTTTATAAAACCTACATTAAACTTTTGAAACATGATTGGGTTTAATTTTATAGTGTGCTTATCATTTTTCCACTTTCCTACAGTCAATTATTCACTTTTCTTGATTCAATTGTCAGAGGACTCCTACCTCTATCTATCACAAGATATCACTTGAAAATCACAGTTATTTTGACTCCTATTGGTACGATGCTTAAGCAATATGAATCCTGAATTTTGTAATGCTGAATGGCTGCTATCAGTACATCTTGAAGGGAACTTCACAGACATCTTGCCTTTTACTGAACCAGTGTTCTATAAAAGCCATGGTAAGTAAACCAGAAAAACTTATAGTTTTCCTAATTTTGTTTAAATGTCAAATAATCTTTCAATAAAGTGTTCAGTTTAATAGGAAGAAATGTGTTTCTAGTGGTGGATTAGATGAATTCTATAATATAAAATGTGCACCACTCCCAGGGTTCCCACAGAATTAAATTATTTAACTGATTTTCAAACCTAAGTTGCAGGTGAGCTATGCTCCTTTGCATAGCTGCCAGCCATTCTATACCCTTTCAGTGGCATCCTAATAAATCTTTGCTTTTTTCCTAAAAAAAGAAAACAAGAAAAAAGTTAAGTTGTTGCAGCTTCTGATTTAGAGGATGATTCCTATCATTAAGTAGAACTATTATTTGTTTTCCAAACTTTTACTTATTTTAACTCTGAAGTTTTTTCTTTTCTTTTTAAATTAAAAAAAATTTGATACAGTTTGGCCTTGAACTCCTGATCCTTCTGTCTCAGCCCCTTGACTGCTATAATTACAAATGTACACCATCATGCCCAGAAAAAATTCTCTCTCTCTCTCTCTCTCTTTCTCTACCTAATTACTAGGGATTAAATTCAGGGCTTTTCACATGGGAGGCAAGCTTGCTATCAGTGAGATACATCCCTAATCCAAGCTCATTGAAATCACATGCTATAACAAATATAGTAGGACTCACTATATTCTCATTGTGTGCAAAACATCACATAGCTGGTATCTTGGGATCTATTTTTTCCCTTTGCTGTTCTGATGGGTGGGGGTATATTGTGGCATTGACAAAGGCAATTACAATGTATCAAATATATCATTCATGAATTCACTCCTTCATCCATTCTCCTTCATCTCCCCCTCCCCAAATTCCAGGAGTAGTTTCAGCAGGTATCATTTTTGCATTTACTTGCCTGTGTATACATCTTATTGCACTGCATTCACCCTCTTACTCCCTTTCCCAAAACTTTCCTCCTCCCACTGGTGCCAGAACTCTCCCCTGGGCAGGGCTGTCGCACCCTCCTGTTCTCCAATTTGTAGGAAAAAAGAGAAAACATAAAATGAAAAATACATCATTTCAGCTTGAGATAAAGATAGCTACATGGGGAGTTTCCTTGTGATAGTTCCAAGTATGTATCTATAA